TAAAATCTAGACGCTGCTGCTAAGCAATCCGACTGAAGATGAACGTTTGTGTTTTGGTTCATCTGATAAAGAACCAGAACCTGTTAGTTCACATCTACCCGACAAATACGGCTCCGAAAAGACGAGCTCCATTGAACTGCAGGAATCCGTAAAGGATCTTATTTTTTGACTCTTCAGGCATAACTGGAAGCATAGATGGAACCACATTCAAACTGCCTCACTTAATAAAAGAGACTTTTTATTTTTCACAGTATTTCATCTGCTAAACAACTGTCAACACTAAAGAAACGTCTCCAACTTTCTGTTTTCTTGTTCCGGAGGAATGCAGCGAAAAGTTCAAGCGGCTTGTTCTGCCTGTTCCCTAATTTTCCTTTGGTGGTCTGGGATTGGAAGCATCTTTCCACGGCACATGACAGACAGATGGACATTCTGAGGATGAGGGATGTTAGCACGATGCTACAAAGCCTTTCCAGACAAGTTCCATAAAGATGATCTTTGATCTGCAGCTGTCAGTTAAACCACAGGCCAGCAGAGGCGGACGTCAAAACTCCAGCGATGGGTTTGGAAAGTGAGCAGCAACATGCCGCTAAAGACTAAAAGCTCTCCCCGCCCGTTGGTAGCATTTACCAGAAACATTCAGGAGAAACAAACACAAAGAAAAGAAAAGCCCACAGCCTAAAATAACAAATGTGCCTGAGGAGAAGCACATTGGCAGCCATGTGACTTCTGAAACCACAGGACATGCAACACCACAGCAAAGGAAAAAATGTTGGCTCAAATAACAAAAAAACAAAATGAACTAATTAAATAAAAATGCAGGCCATAAAACATTTGGCCCCTTGCTGCATATTTCAGAAATAAAGGTTCGGCTAATCTTAAACGGATGAAGAATTTTATGGCAGAGAGAGTTGGCTCCTGAAATCCATCTGTGTGTAAAAAACGCTCCGGAAAAAACAGCAAAGACCACCCAACTCCAGGGGAGACCCAGAGACATCTTCAAAATGAAGTGTCAAACCCGGACTCTGTTCACGCTGCTTTAAACGTCGCATCGGGTCGGCCTGCTTCATCAGGCTGCTCCTCTTCCTCCTCATCAGACCAGGTTTAACCAGACTTCCCCACTAGGAGGCAGCAGATCCACCAGCTTCTGCTCTCAGCGCTGCTGTTCTGTCAGACCAGCTACCATTAGATAGACCATATCCATACGCAACACTTGCGTTTTTCCCTTTAGTTTTGAACGAAAAATAGACTTTGGGGCGTGTATCCCTTTAGTTTTGTAAAAAAAAAAAAAAAGTTTAAGGTCAGATCGCCATATGCTTCAAAAACATCAAAAAGTAAGTAATTAAAACGTTTTTTTCCACATGACTAAAGGGATAAACGTCCACTGAGGTATTTTAAAGTCTATTTTTCATAGAAAACTAAAGGGATAAACGGGTATTAACTGTGGGTATGCTCATCTGACAGAACACCGGCTCTGGGCGTCAGGGTTCCGGGGCCCCTAGGGGGCCAAGAGCAATGAAAATACAGAGCTCTGCCAAACAGCGGCGCTATATTAGGGCTGAGCTTTTCCCTCCAAATGTAAAAATAAGCAGTTTAACAATCAGAGAGAAACTCAGCTTTGGTTTCATGACATTCATCAGGAGTCAGACGCAGACTTTCTCCCTCCTTTAGGTGGCGCTATTACGCTTAAA